ACAAGAAATATACACTCAGGGGACAGTCCCCCCTCCCCGGCATAATGATACAGGGTGGGGCGATCTACATTTAGTAACAAGAGACACACAGGTATTCAGACTTCACACCAGCAGACAGTCCCATCAGGAGGGAGGGCTGCTGGAGACACCCCCCACTAAGCTAATACACATAAACACATACATCCCATAATAGTTTGCTCCCAAGCCAGACAAACAATAGAACAATGGGATGCAGCCACACAATACCAAACAATCCACAACCCCCCACCCCACCTATCTCCTAGACATGTCTACACAATATTAGGACAGATCACCCTGTACCCCTAACAGGCACAGGGTGACTTAAACATAATAGGGATATGGGGAGCTGAGACAGGGGTCTCCCCACCTCTCCAAAGTGAGCTGTGTTCCATGGGCCCCCCACCCAAAGTCACTCCCGTCACAGTCTCCGTATAGTGCTTGTTATATTTAGTTTGTGTCCTATCTGTTCTGCTTGATCACTCATTAGATGTTCCAAGTTCAGCATTAATGCTCTAATTCACATACAAAGAAAAGAAAATCATTCTTGACTGTATTTTAATCTCGTGGTATCAGAAAAGTGTGCGCTCAGCAAATACACCTTCCTACTGTATTGTGCATTGGGCTAGGTGACAACATTGACACACACCTTCCTATCTCATCTGAGCCAGCAGACTAATTGCAAATGTCAATTATTCGAGTTTGGCAAACGATCTGAGTGCATGTGAAGAGGATGCGGCGTAATGCCACGTGGAATTGTAAAGATCATGAACAAGTTTTTCAGGGCCTTGTTTAAAGTGGTTGCATGAAGGTGAAAAACCTTCTGTGTGAAGCAAGCCCCTCCCAAGCCCCTCCTAATACTTACCTGTGCCCCATCACGATCCAGCCTCCTCATCTCAGTCTCCCCTTCTTGGGTCCCAAGCCCCTCTGTCCTGCTGAGTGCCCCCAGAGCAAGCAGTTTGTTATGGGGGCACTCAAGCAGGCTCACTCCCGAGTCACTGCTCTGTGTGTCCATTCACACACAGAGCCGTAGCTTGGCCATGCCCCCTCTCCTTCTTCATTTACTGTGATTGACAGTCAATGGCTCCCGCTGCTGTCTTAGTCATTGAGGAGGGAGAGAGGGCAGGGCCGGTGTGTGAATAGCCACACAGAGCAGAGGCTCGGGAGTGAGCCTGCTTGAGTGCCCCATAACAAACTACTTGCTCTGGGGGCACTCAGCAGGAGGGAGGGGCAGAAGAGCCAAAGGTATACCGCTCAGGCAAACAATCCAGATCCATCCACAACAGGTGCAGGCTCTGGCTCACCACCACACACAATGCAATAGGAAGAAGGGTCAGCCGCACACCGGAGGATAGATGAATATAGTGTGTATTTATTGATCCACGGGACACACAAAACTGCTTGCTCTGGGGGCACTCAGCAGGAAGGAGTGGCCTTATAATACATAAGGGGGGATATGATCTCCATGTATAATACATAAGGGGGGATGATGATCTCCATGTATAATACATAAGGGGGGATATTGATCTCCATGTATAATACATAAGGGGGGATATGATCTCCATGTATAATACATAAGGGGGATATGATCTCCATGTATAATACATAAGGGGGGATATGATCTCCATGTATAATACATAAGGGGGATATGATCTCCATGTATAATACATAAGGGGGGATATGATCTCCATGTATAATACATAAGGGGGGGATATGATCTCCATGTATAATACATAAGGGGGGGATGTGATCTCCATGTATAATACATAAGGGGGGATATGATCACCATGTATAATACATAAGGGGGGGGGGTATGATCTCCATGTATAATACATAAGGGGGATATGATCTCCATGTATAATACATAAGGGGGGATATGATCACTATGTATAAATACATAAGGGGGGGGATATGATCTCCATGTATAATACATAAGGGGGGGATATGATCTCCATGTATAATACATTAAGGGGGGATATGATCTCCATGTATAATACATAAGGGGGATATGATCTCCATGTAGATAATACATAAGGGAGGATATGATCTCCATGTATAATACATAAGGGGGGGATATGATCTCCATGTATAATACATAAGGGGGGGATATGATCACCATGTATAATACATAAGGGGGGGGATATGATCACCATGTATAAATACATAAGGGGGGATATGATCTCCATGTATAATACATAAGGGGGGGATAATGATCTCCATGTATAATACATAAGGGGGGATATGATCTCCATGTATAATACATAAGGGGGGATATGATCTCCATGTAATAATACATAAGGGGGGTGATATGATCTCCATGTATAATACATAAGGGGATATGATCTCCATGTATAATACATAAGGGGGGGATATGATCTCTCATGTATAATACATAAGGGGGGGATATGATCTCCATGTATAATACATAAGGGGGATATGATCTCCATGTATAATACATAAGGGGGGAATTTGATCTCCATGTATAATACAATAAGGGGATATGATCTCCATGTATAATACATAAGGGGGGGATATGATCTCCATGTATAATACATATATGGGGGGGATATGATCTCCATGTATTATAAGAACCTAAGGGGGATATGCTCTCCATGTATAATACATAAGGGGGATATGATCTCCATTGTATAATACATAAGGGGGGATATGATCTCCATGTATAATACATAAGGGGGGGATATGATCTCCATGTATAAATACATAAGGGGGGGATATGATCTCCATGTATAATACATAAGGGGGGGGATATGATCTCCATGTATAATACATAAGGGGGGATATGATCTCCATGTATAATACATAAGGGGGGATGTGATCTCCATGTATATACATAAGGGGGATATGATCACCATGTATAATATACATAAGGGGGGATATGATCTCCATGTATAATACATAGGGGGGATATGATTCTCCATGTATATAATACATAAGGGGGTATATGATCTCCATGTATAATACATAAGGGGGGGATATGATCTCCATGTATAATACATAAGGGGGGGATATGATCTCCATGTATAATACATAAGGGGGATATGATCTCCATGTATAATACATAAGGGGGGGATATGATCTCCATGTATAATACATAAGGGGGATATGATCTCCATGTATAATACATAAGGGGGATATGATCACCCATGTATAATACATAAGGGGGGATATGATCTCCATGTATAATACATAAGGGGGATATGATCTCCATTGTATTAATACAGTAAGGGGGGATATGATCTCCATGTATAATACATAAGGGGGATATGATCTCCATGTATAATACATAAGGGGGATATGATCTCCAATGTATAATACATAAGGGGGGGATATGATCTCCATGTATAAATACATAAGGGGGATATGATCTCCATGTATAAATACATAAGGGGGATATGATCACCATGTATAATACATAAGGGGGGATATGATCTCGCATGTATAATACATAAGGGGGATATGATCTCCATGTATAATACATAAGGGGGATATGATCTCCATGTATAATACATAAGGGGGGATATGATCTCCATGTATAATACATAAGGGGGGGATATGATCTCCATTGTATAATACATAAGGGGGATATGATCTCCATATATAATACATAAGGGGGGAATGATCTCCATGTATAATACATAAGGGAGGATATGATCTCCATGTATAATACATAAGGGGGGATATGATCTCCATGTATAATAATAAGGGAGGATATGATCTCCATGTATAATACATAAGGGGGGGGATATGATCTCCATGTATAATACATAAGGGGGGAGATATGATCTCCATGTATAATACATAAGGGGGGATATGATCTCCATGTATAATACATAAGGGGGGATATGATCTCCATGTATAATACATAAGGGGGGGATATTGATCTCCATGTATAATACCATAAGGGGATATGATCTCCATGTATAATACATAAGGGGGGATATGATCTCCATGTATAATACATAAGGGGGGATATGATCTCCATGTATAATACATAAGGGGGGATATGATTCTCCATGTATAAATACATAAGGGGAGATATGATCTCCATGTATAATACATAAGGGGGATATGATCTCCATGTACTATAATACATAAGGGGGGGATATGATCTCTCCATGTATAATACATAAGGGGGATATGATCTCCATGTATAATACATAAGGGGGAGTATGATCTCTATGTATAATACATAAGGGGGATATGATCTCCATGTATAATACATAAGGGGGGATATGTGATCTCCATGTATAATACATAAGGGGGGGATATGATCTCCATGTATAATACATAAGGGGGGATATGATCTCCATGTATTAATACATAAGGGGGGATATGATCTCCATGTATAATACATAAGGGGGGATATGATCTCCATGTATAATACATAAGGGGGATATGATCTCCATGTATAATACATAAGGGGGGGAATGATCTCCATTATATAATACATAAGGGGGATATGATCTCCATGTATAATACATAAGGGGGATACGATCTCCATGTATAATACATAAGGGGGTATATGATCTCCATGTATAATACATAAGGGGGATATGATCTCCATGTATATATACATAGTGGGATTCATATAGTGAACTCGGTGTAGTTATTCCCCCTGAGGTCATCACAGAGGACAAGGGGGCGCTCTTTACATCTGGAGGAAAAGAGATTTAATCTCCAAACACGGGAAAGGTTTCTTCACAGTAAGAGCTGTGAGAATGTGGAATAGACTCCCTCAAGAGTTGGTTGTGGCCAGCTCAGTGGATTGCTGTAGGAAAGTCCTGGATTCTTTCTTGGATACACAGAATATAACTGGATATAACATTTATAGGTAAAGTTGATCCAGGGAATATCCGATTGCCTCTCGGGGGATCAGGAAGGAATGTTTTTTCCCTGTAGGAGCAAAATTGGATCATGCTTTGCTGTATTTTTTTGGACTGAGTGGAGGACAGTGGAGGGATTGGCAAAGAGGGATGGAGGACACTGAGTGGAGGCCAGTGGAGGGATTGGCAGAGAGAGGGTGGAGGACACTGAATGGAGGCCAGTGGAGTGATTGGCAGAGAGGGGTGGAGGACACTGAGCTGAGGCCAGTGGAGGGATTGGCAGAGAGGGGGTGGAGGACACTGAGTGGAGGCCAGTGGAGGGGATTGGGCAGAGAGGGGTGGAGGGACACTGAGTGGAGGCCAGTGGAGGGTATTGGCAGAGAGGGATGGAGGACACTGAGTGGAGACCAGTGGAGGGGATTGGCAGAGGGGGGTGGAGGACACTGAGTGGAGGTCAGTGGAGGGATTGGCAGAGAGGGGGTGGAGGACACTGAGTGGAGGCCAGTGGAGGGATTGCCAGAGAGGGGTGGAGGACACTGAGTGGAGGCCAGTGGAGGGATTGGCAGAGAGGGGTGGAGGACACTGAGTGGAGGCCAGTGGAGGGATTGGCAGAGAGGGGTGGAGGACACTGAGTGGAGGCCAGTGGAGGGATTGGCAGAGAGGGGTGGAGGACACTGAGTGGAGGCCAGTGGAGGGGGGATTGGCAGAGAGGGGTGGAGGACACTGAGTGGAGGTCAGTGGAGGGATCGGCAGAGAGGGGTGGAGGACACTGAGTGGAGGCCAGTGGAGGGATTGGCAGACAGGGATGGAGGACACTGAGTGGAGGCCAGTGGAGGGATTGGCAGACAGGGATGGAGGACACTGAGTGGAGGTCAGTGGAGGGATTGGCAGAGAGGGGTGGAGGACACTGAGTGGAGGTCAGTGGAGGGATTGGCAGAGAGGGGTGGAGGACACTGAGTGGAGGTCAGTGGAGGGATTGTCAGAGAGGGGTGGCAGATACAGAACGGTTAGTAAGGTGGATGCGTCTGGCAGCAGCATTCATGAAAAAACTGAAGAGGGGGGAAATATTTAGCTAGTTTGAGATGGGAAAGCTTCAAGTCTATGACACAGACAGGGATCCTTATCTTCTGAAATACCGAGCAAATTGTGTCCATAAATAGTGAGAATATGGTGTCAGGTATACTGAGTAATGGTCCAGGCTGCCTTCAATGTAAATAAATAAATAAAGGCAATTATCGGATGATAACAAGCGAGGGGAGGATTGTTTGGATGGAGGTGTTTCTGTGCTTCCTGCAGACCTGGATTTACACAATGCTGTTTATTCCCCTAATACATTGCATAATTTCTCCTGGTAAATCCAGCAGAGCGTGACAGGCAAAAAACATGAAATGAAACAAGATTACGGGCCCAGAAACAAAGCGCCGTGTTGATGGATTGAAAGCGTATTTCAAAACAAGAACATACAGTTACAGATTTAGTGCGGCTTTGGCTCTCCATTGGGTTTCCCAACAATGCTGATTCATTTTCCCCATCAAAGAAAGATTATATTAAAGGCTCAGCCCACACATGACCAATAATTCATCGGTAGTGAACTCCGACATGTTGACCCATCTGGAAAAAAATTTATATTGTGCGACTTTAGCGTTTGGCAGCAAGATCTCTGCTCTTGAATTACCAGGACTGCCAACCTGTACTAAATATTGCCTTGATGGAGTTTTAATTTACTGTATTTTTTTTTTCGCTCTGTAAGACGCACCTAGATTTTAGAGGAGGAAAAGAAGAAGAAACAAATTCTGACCCAATGGACTGCAAACATAGTACAGGAGATGAACAGAGACTGCGGACACAGTACAGGGGATGACCAGAGACTGCAGACACAGTACAGGGGATGACCAGAGACTGCAGACACAGTACAGGGGATGACCAGAGACTGCAGACACAGTACAGGGGATGACCAGAGACTGCAGACACAGTACAGGGGATGACCAGAGACTGCGGACACAGTACAGGAGATGACCAGAGACTGCGGACACAGTACAGGAGATGACCGGAGACTGCGGACATAGTACAGGAGATGACCAGAGACTGCGGACCTGGTACAGGAGATGACCAGAGACTGCAGACATAGTACAGGAGATGACCAGAGACTGCGGACACAGTACAGGAGATGACCAGAGACTGCGGACACAGTACAAGAGATGACCAGAGACTGCGGACACAGTACAGGAGATGACCAGAGACTGCGGACACAGTACAGGAGATGACCAGAGACTGCGGACATAGTACAGTAGATGACCAGAGACTGCGGACACAGTACAGGGGATGACCAGAGACTGCGGACATAGTACAGTAGATGACCAGAGACTGCGGACATAGTACAGTAGATGACCAGAGACTGCGGACATAGTACAGTAGATGACCAGAGACTGCGGACACAGTACAGGGGATGACCAGAGACTGCGGACACAGTACAGGGGATGACCAGAGACTGCGGACACAGTACAGGAGATGATCAGAGACTGCGGACACAGTACAGGAGATGATCAGAGACTGCGGACACAGTACAGTGGATGACCAGAGACTGCGGACAGTATAGGAGATGACCAGAGACTGTGGACAGTACAGGAGATGACCAGAGACTGCGGACACAGTACAGGGGATGACCAGAGACTGCGGACATAGTACAAGAGATGACCAGAGACTGCGGACATAGTACAGGAGATGACCAGAGACTGCGGACACAGTACAGGAGATGACCAGAGACTGCGGACACAGTACAGGAGATGACCAGAGACTGCGGACACAGTACAGGAGATGACCAGAGACTGCGGACACAGTACAGGAGATGACCAGAGACTGCGGACACAGTACAGGAGATGACCAGAGACTGCGGACACAGTGCAGGAGATGACAGAGACTGCGGACACAGTGCAGGAGATGATCAGAGACCGCGGACATAGTACAGGAGATGACCAGAGACTGCGGACACAGTACAGGGATGACCAGAGACTGCGGACATAGTACAGTAGACTGTAATTTATTTATTGTAATATATTTTGAAATATATTGAATGCGGCCAAAATTGTAGCATTTCAAATATATGTCAATATATTTGGGAAGAACATTTTAAAAATATATTTCAAATATACTTTTCTTCATGTGGGAATGAACATCGAATTGTAGTG